CGTTAATCCGAACATGACACGATTGACGCCCTAATATGGAGTAGAGAAAGAGAAATATTGAAACAATAGTCACAAGTTGTTATTAATAGGGAATGAGAGAAAGAATGGAAAATACCATTTTTCCCTCGTGTGCAATGCACGAGGAATGATTAACGGACAATCTTAGCACCTTCTGAAAAAGAGACCAAAAAAGTTAATAAACTACATATTATGGACTGAAATTGAATGATTAAACATGTTGGAACCAATTATGTACAATACACCAATACATGGGGACCATTTTTGTAATTCACCTAAGTTTTATTTTCTTACAAACAAAGAAAGTACTACCCACCCTCAATTGACTTCATATTGTATCACATCGTTTTAATAGAGCAGCTACGACGTCACCTCTCTTCCCCACAAAAAAATCTATATATTTCAAGAGAAATTGATGTAAGATGCCATGAAACTTCGACATCGCATTTAATTATCACTTGCAAAATGATCAATATATGGACATTTCACCCTCCTTGTGCACAAATAAGAAAATTTTATGCTTTAGTATCACACCTATTAAATTTACCTATACGTGGGGATAATACTATAATAGTAAAGACACTATTTCACACCTATAATATAGTTTTTTATTTTTTTATTTTTTTTATTTTTTTTCATTTGACATGCGTGAGCCGGTTATTCTATAAAAGTACATAATTTTTATATTGATTTCCTATATGTTTTTTATGAAACTAATTTATGAATGCTCTCTACAACAAAAATCTATTTTTCTAATTCACGAACAAGTTTTTTCGTATCGATTAATGAAACTGTGGTGTCATTTCACAAAAAAAATGTCACTCCATCAAAAAAAAAAATATGGAGTCTATTTTGTGAAGTATGTTATAATACCATTATTTTTTGGGATAATCACTTGAGAATGTAATATATTTTTTGATTTTTACATATTTAGTCATTGAGTTTTTTTTTTCGTTTATATTTACCCCTTCAACATGTTAAACTGTACATATTCAGTCCTTATGACCGGTTACTGCAGTATAGCCGAGAAAAATAACTTAATATGGTAATATATTTCTCACTTTGTACACATTTAGTCTTTAATATTTTTTTGTTACAAAATAAGTCCTTTTTGTTTTTGTACACATTTAGTACTTATGACTGATTTTTTTAGGTTTTTCTCACGACATCTTACGTGGGACAATCATTAATGAGATGTTCGGGGTTGTTGATGCTTATGGTCACAACAATCTTGACTGCTTAGTTGCTTAGGTCTTATGGTTTAGCTTAGGTCTTGTGTTCTGAATATCGTAACTTTTGCATATGACCTCAGTTTTAACGATCTTTATATCCATGCGTTCGTATTTGAGTCTACTACAACTTTCTTTTAGATTACTCTCGTTAAAAAGTTATATTTCTACTTACGTTTTTTATATACGTTTTTTACGAATGTATGTATGAATGTTTTTTTTTATAAAATCGTAAGTACAAATATATTACATATTAACGGGATTAATCTTAACGAAAGTTATGGTAGGCTCAAAAATCGAACACATGGATATAAAGATCGTTAAAATTCGAGATCGTATGAAAATGTTACGACGTTAAGAACACAAAACTTACGCCAAACCACAAGACCTAAGCAACAAAGCAATCGAGACCGCGATGAACATAAGCATTAATAACTCCAAACACCTCATTAAATGATTGTCCAACGTAAGATGTCGTGAGAAAAATCTAAAAAAATCTGGCATAAGTACTTAATGTGTACAAAAACAAAATGACTTATTTTGCAACAAAATATTTATGACTAAATATGCACAAAAATATTAAGGAGTAAATGTGTACAAAATACAAAATATATGACCTTATTAAGTCATTTTTTCCGACTAACCTGGAGTAGCTGGTAATAAGGACTGAATGTGTACAAGTTAACAAGTTAAAGGGTAAATGTGGACCGAAAAACAGTGACCAAATATATACAAATCAAAAAATATATTACCCTTTTAAGCCATTATCCCTTACTTAAAAAAATAATAATAAAAAAATTAAAAAAAAAATAAAAATTCATGACGATGATTTTTACAAAACACTTTTTTACACATCATTTTTATGGTTTATACGATTATAAACTACAACCTTCTAAATCATAAATTTTTATATATGACTAAAAGTATTACGTACAAATTACTCATGTTTGACATATAACCCACCATTTTGTCATCGTATGCTTACCTCACAAAATTCTACTAAAACACTCTCAATTTGTGTAACGAATCCTCATTTTAGTGTTTAAGGCATTAATCTCGGACACATACTTTATTTGCAAGTCATGTTTGTGTTATGTGATCGTATTGACTATATGATTTATACACCATAGTAGTTCGACTATGATCTAAAAGCCATTAAGGTTACTAGTTGTGATTTTACCTTGGTGATCCAAAATTCGATTATTAATTATTGTTATGGAAATTGATTCCCAATTTTAGTTGCTAGTAAAAGAGAGAACTATTTCTAGAAATTACTATTGTAATTAAATAAAGACAAAATTGCAAAAATGGTCCCTGTGGTTTGTAAATTTCTTTGGGTAAGGTCCAAAAAAAAGTATTAGCAAAACATGTCCCTATTTGGTGGTTTTGTTGTGGATTTGGTCCATATCTCGTTAAGTTTAACAGTTTGGCTATTAAGTTTTTGAAAATGATGCATTTACCCCTAGGGACCATTTATGCAGTTTTATTTTTTCACACAACTACAAGGACCATTTCTGCAATTTTTCTTTTTCATTTTATTAAATTATTATACATTAATTCTTTTAATTAATATTTTTCATTTATTTCGTATTGGATTATTATATATTAATAAATATTATTTTTAATATGTTATATTTATATATTAATAAATATTATTTTATTATATTATTAATTTTTTTAATTACTTTTTTTTAATTTCTTCTTTGTTGGATTAATTCTTTTTCGTTGGATTATTATATATTAATAAATATTAATTTTATTATATTTTATTTATATTTAATAAATATTAATTTATTATATTTTTTATTTTTTTAATTAATTCTTTTTTAATTTCTTTTTTATTGGATTAATTTTTTTATTGGATTATTATATATTAATAAATATTTTTCTAACATAGAATATTTTTCTATTAATTAATATTACTTTATTATATTATTAATTCCTTTTAATTGTTTTTTTATTTTTTTATTACGTTAATTCTTTTTATTGGATTATTATTTTTAATTTATTATAATTATATATAATAAATATCATTTTATCAGATTAATAATTTATAATGTATAATATTTTTTTTTTTTAATTTTATTGGTTCCACCATAAAGTCGTCAGAATAAGCAAATGTGTCGCGTCCCATAGTTTAAAATCAGCGGGACAATCGCCAATCATCTTCATCGATTGTTCGACGGAAACCCCACTAACTTGTTACACCCGATGCTGCCAATAGCCACCTAGGACAACATCATCACAATCCATCGGAATCCTTTGTATCTGCCATTAAGCCGACCATATTCTGCTACAACCACTAGGAGGTTCGATCGAAACACCCCTGGTCAGCTCATCCATTCATTGCCTTCTACCACCTTGTGTTGTCCAATTATCTTGCTGGAAATCGCCGATCATCGCCTATATTCAGCCATTCTCGACGAAAACTACATCGTTCGATTACCCACACAATGCGCAACAAACCCATAAAACATACAACCTCCAACCGACAATTCATTACCGATACTGCCATCGATAACGACAATGTTAGATCGAGGGTTTTCAAACCACCATAGCCACTATAGACGGTGGCAAGGTTGTATAACTCGTTATTCGGTACTCGTTTGGCCAACCGCCGAGTAGCGAGTACTCTGATTTGGTAATTCATGTGAAAATATATTTAGGGAAATTATATATGTCAAAAATATAAGTTAAAATCATAAGTTTATTGAAATATATAACAAATTTAGATAGAAATGAATACACAAAAACTAAAATACACACGAAGATCTCACTTCGTGAATAATTATTGAAAATTATATATATATATATATATATATATATATATATTATATATATATATATATATATATATATATATATATATATATATATATATATATATATATAGTAAAAGGGGTTGGAGATGGCCCGCTAGTGGTAGTGGTGACTGAGTGATGGTGGTGATGTTGTCCAAAATATGTTATCTTCCAAATATTTAAAATAAACTAGGAAATGTGGGGTGGGTGAGATTTTTTTGGTATTTTTATTTAAAACAATAAACAAAGAAATTAAAAGAAAACAAAAACAGTTAAAAAATAATATTTATTATAAATATAAATAATACAATAAGATAGAAGTTAAAAAAATAATTAAAAGAATTAATATACAATACTTCAATAAAATGAAAAAGAAAATTGCATAATTGGTACTTGTAGTTTGGTAAAAAGATAAAACTGCAGAAATGGTCCCTAGGGGTAAATCTGTCATTTGCCATAACTTAACAGTCAAGCTGTTAAACTTAACGAAATAGGGACCAAAACCATAACAAAACCATCAAATAAGGACTTTTTTGCTAATAAACTTTTTTGTGGACTTCACCCAAAGAAATTGACAAACCACAGGGACCATTTTTGCAATTTTGTCTTAAATAAATAATATCTGAGATGGATGCTTTTAAGTTTTAATCGAAAACAATGGGCAGAATTACAATTTTTCTGATTAAAAACATGACCATTGGGTTGGATTTTGGATTGTCCATATCATATTGGGCTAATTTTATTGATAGCATGCTTAGGTTAAGCGATGGGTTGGATAGTATGCTTGGATTAAGCGATGGGTTGTTATACATCAAATATCAGTAGGATGAAGCCCACTTTGTAGCTATTTGTCTCTCTCAAACTATATATATATATAATATATATATATATATATATATATATTAAAGATGAACCTGTGTCCTTTTTGGCGGAAATGGTCCCCCGTTTTTGTATGTGTGTTCAAATCGTCTTTAGGGTCATTTTATGTCGATATCCATATACTTTGTGGACACGTGTTGGTAACAGTTCCGGTTCCCGGTCATTCTATCCCCACACCTGTAGGTTAATCGATCCTTCCAGTTTTTTCCTTCCATCGCTTCTTATCCAAACCTTCCGTTCTCTTTCTTCCCTTCCTCTGGTAACGTTCATCGCCACTGGTGTTGGTGGTGCTACGGTGTGGGTTGCCGGCGGCGCTGACCGGAGGCGTTGTGGCCTTCAGGTGTCGCAAATCGATTGCGTCACAGAGTCGTCAGTATCAACCGCAGCCACCGACTACTCAGCATCGCCTCCACCTTTACCGACACATCGTCATCACCTTTCGCCACCGACTCACCGGTACACTACTCATCCAATTTATCCGTTCAGTTTCTTCCCAACGTCTGATTTGCGTCGTCTCTTGCAGATGACTTAATGGATTACTTAAATAGTTCAATAATTCCTCACCTTTGCTTTTGTTTTTCTTATCCAATCTACAGACGGGACGATGCAGATGACCATGGAACGGGTTCCGATTTAGGTTCTGACGACGGGACTGGGAGCTTTTACCACTACCACCACAGGTGTGTTTCCTTAATTTTTTTTGGGGGTATTGTTGTACGTCTCTGTTCCTTCAATTTCTTCACCGCCTCTATAACCCAATCACAGATTGGTACTGTCGATGACTTCATACTACGACTACTGGGACGGATCTGCTGCAGAAGGTCACCACAGTACCACCACTACTCCTTCATCCAAGCCATCAAACCCTAAATCGGTGCTCTGATCCACTACCTGAAACGTACAGGTATCAATTTTCTCCAAACTAACATCCACTCTCTATGAAGTCGGCCATTGGCTTCAACCGGAAACCTGTTCTCCTTCGCTTTTTCTGAATGAAACGTGTCTGCATCCCTTTCTTCCTCTATCTCTTACCGTCATTGATTGCTCCTGCTGTGTTCATCGCGGTTCTCCCCAATCTGACTGTCGATTTAGGGTTGAACCTCTACACCACCCTCAATTGTGATTTGCAGGTAAGGAGGCTTACATTTCGGATTTGAACTAAGATGTAGTTCGATTTGGTGTGTGATTTTTCCATTTAGACTTCCATATTCTGAGAATTTTAAGATTGTTATGCTATCAGATTCTGTTTTTCAGTTATTCGATTGAATTTAGACAGCTGGGCTTATGTTTTTATTATGTTTGCATTTTAGAGGCGTATTTCATCAAGGATTTGAAACTGAATCGATTGATGTTTGCTTCGGGTGTGCGACGAACGTGGTTTGGCTGACGGCGTCCACGTTTTAGAGGCGTATTTATCTGTTTATGCCGCCTGGAATTCACAGGTCCCTCCTATCTTTTTTAGTAAATATGTGTGATTGAATACATTTCGTTGGATTCTGTTGTTTTTTTACCTTCATTTAACACATCTACTATGTTCATCAAATCTGTTTTTCGTTTACTTTTTCTTTCATTTTTACCTCTCTTCTTTCCTAATCTGATAATGCTCATGATTCGTACTCTATTTTTGTTCTATGATTTCAATTTCTGATTGATGTATATGGATCTGAATTTATGCTAAAGTGTTCGTAACGTCATACATTTAGGGTCTTACTTCTTATGTCAATGAAAATGGGAAATTATTGGATTAAAGGCATGGTATTTTTTATGCACACGATTTACTTTTTTTGCTTTATGTACAAACAATTTATAGACCATCACTTATGTAATTTCAACATTCTTCCAAATAATTAATCCTTCACATTTTCCTTTTCACAAGGGTTTGCTTGCATAGTTGGTGCTACTGCAGCTGCTGTTGATGCGGAATATGTTCCCAATGAGTTCCAGGTAAAGTTACATGTCATTAATCTGGAATCTGGATGAAATATGAATGATGTTAAGTAGTTTGTATGGGATTTTTAGTATGTTGTATAGGTTGGGCAAACGGGGAAGATTGTTGCTCCACAACTTTAGATGGCTTTTGGTGTGTCTGGAGCCATCCAACACATTGCTGGAATGAGAGATTCCAAAGTCATTGTTGCAGTAAACAAAGATGCTGATGCCCCAATATTTCAGGTCACCCCTCAACTCAACCCTCTTTGTTTTTTTTTTGGTTAAAAGTGTGAAAATTCACACCTTTTTCAAAATTTCAGTTTAATCCCAAGTCGCCAACGAACCATTTTATTGGAAACATGGGTCATTTTTTCAATTTTACACTTTTGACACATGTTTTCAAGTTGCCAACAAATCGGTTTGGTGGCAAGTTGAAGACACCAGGATTAGTTACTTTCCCGAAAACAAAAAATATACAGATGTTTTACTATTTTTAAATTGTTTTTATTATGCTTTTGTATTTTTGTTTGTTATTATATTGTAAATTTGTAATACTGATGATAATTTATTTTTCAAGTACCGATTGCTGATTACGGACTAAATGATTTTAATAGAGTTTTTTTTTTTTTTTTTTTTTTTTTTTTTTTTTTTTTAATTTACAAACAGATGCGGAAGCAGATAAGTTCAATTAACAACTGAAAAAGACGATGCACAATTACATGTTACTCAGGTAATTTTTTTTACTATGAAACTAAATAGAGAAAATAGTAAAAGGATAAAATTGTTGTATAATATAAATATATAATGCTTTTATTTTTTATTTTGTAGTGTTGGGAAATCATGACTACAGGGGCAATGTATTTGCACAATTAAGCCCTGCCCTTAAACAAAGGCATATCAAATGGCTTTGTCTTAGGTCCTTTATTGTCAATTTAGGTATTTTATTTTATTTTGTAATTTTTAAACAAAGTCTATATTTTTTTGTTTGACTATTTTAATAGGTTTATTAGTAATCTTTTAGTTTTAGACAAATATGTAAATGTTTTTTAGTAAAAAAAATTAAGGTTAATCTACAAAGTGCATTACCATTTTAATAGGTTTATTAGTAATCTTTTACTTTTATTTCTGTTTTTTGCATTTTTTTTCTTTTTTTTACCAAAAGCCAAAACACATTGCCATTTGTTGCAATTCCTATATTTAGGTGGTAAACACAGTAAATAACAATGTACTTTAAATTAACACGTTTTTTTCTATTTTTTACAGTTTGTTCTAATTTTTTTTACCAAAAAATAGCACATTGCCATTATGTACATTTTTCGTTTTTAGGTGTTAAATGCACTAAAATAGCAATGTACTTCGACTTTACACCTTTTTTCTGTTTTTGGAAATTTGGTTTGATTTTTTTACCAATAACAAACAATACATACCAATGTGCTTTGAATTTACATCTTTTTTCTTTTGGTTTTTTTGTTTTTGGCAATTTATTTCATTTTTTATCAAAAACCAAAGTACATTGCTATTTGGTGCATTTTCCATATTTTGGTGGTAAATGCAGTAAATAGCAATGTACTTCGAATTTACACATTTTTTTTCCCTTCTGTTTTTTGCAGTTTGTTTTGATTTTTTTACCAAAAAAAAAAACCACATTTCCGTTACGTGCATTTTCCATTTTTAGGTGTTAAATGCACTAAAGTAGCAACATATTTCGAATTCATAGTTTTTTATTATTTTTATTTTTTTTCTGTTTTTTTGGCAATTTCTTACTCTCAAATAATTGTAACCTGCTGCTTCATCTTGCCCACTATGCAATTACAGAGGTTTCATCAAACTTTTTTGGTTATTGTGCACTGCCTAGAAGAAGATACTGAGAAAACTCGAGGTTATTGCTTCATTGAATGCGCACTCCTCAAATGTATTTGCTGAAAATTTACATCTTTATAAGTTATAATATATAATTTTCTATAACCCAATGATTCAATAATTGAATCTTTTCTCTTTCTGTTGTTGCGTGATATAGGAGCTTGCTAAGCAGAGACCCAATGCATGCAAAATAGACAGACCACATATGTTTGCTAAAATTAAGAAGTTCATGAAAGTTTCAAATGAGTGGCCCCTCCTGAAATGAAACCGTATACAGCAGGGGTATTTATTCGAATTAACTTAGTTTATTGTTATGTAGTAATGTTATATAGTGAAGATGATTTTATTCGAATTAACTTAGTTAGAAATTTTTTATTCTAACATTTTTGGACCAAACTGCCCTTGCATACTTTTTCTATACTTAAAAAAAATTTGATTTTAAGTTTTTTGGACCAAACTGCTCCTGTATACTGTTTTTAAACTTAAAAAAAAATCCATTTTAACACTTTTGGACCAAACTGCCCCTGCATACTATTTTATAGCTAAAAATATTTTGATTTTAACAGTTTTGGACTGAAATGTCCCTGCATAATGTTTTTATACATAAAATTTTTTTGAATTAAACAATTTTGGATGAAACTGCCTTTACATACTGTTTTTATAGTTAAATTTTATTTTTTATTTTTTTTTATTTTAACAGTTCTCGACAAAACTATCCCTACATGCTGTTAATTTGGTTAGAACAAAAAAAAGTTCACAAATCCGGACCCCGCAACGCGGGGTCACCCATCTAGTTATTATTATTATTATTATTATTATTATTATCTCATGATCATTTAAGTCCTTTGCAATAGAGCTGGCAAATATGTATCACTGAGAACCAACCAACATGTTACCAACCGTACCAATAAAATCGGTAGACAACATGTTTGGTAGCCAATATGTTTGGCTGGTAATACCATGCCAATTAAATAGTCTTGGTACGGTAACGGTACAAAATTTTGAATACCAAGGTTGTACCATACCAACCAATATATATATATATATATATATATATATATATATATATAATTCTTATATTTTCATGTTTTAATTAGGACTAACAAGTAACAGTCAGAGTTACTAATATAATTCTATTGATATTGATTCTGTTTTGAACAAAACATAATAGTAAAAGAAATTACTAACACAAGGTTAAGGAAGGTATATGACACTAAAAGGATTTACCAACACAAGCGACGACCACAACTTCAACTCACATTCATGTTTGGAAAACTTTCTAACCATTCAGTGATGATTATAATGTGAAGTCTTATATAGATTATCAAGTCTCAAACTCTTCAAATATAGATATTATTTAAATATTTTGGTATATACCAAATATCAATATGTACCAACCAAATTTGTTGGTAACCAACTAAGTTGGTACCAAGTATCGTTGATACGGTATTGGTAGGTAAAACTTTATGCCAACTATAATTGGTACGGTACACGGTTTGAAGGAAAAAAATTTAGTACCGTACCAATTTCACCCCTATTATTCTATTGGTATTTTTTTGTTAAAGTATCATCATTTACTAGTTCATAAATTTTAAATGATTTATATTTACTAACTAGTTTATAACCCGTGGGAACCACGGTTATAAAACTAATTAAATTTTTATAGTAAAAAATCCAAAATTATTAATTAAGAGATACTTTGTAGTTATATAAAATTATAATCGTTGATTCAAATAAATACGAGAAATTATATCACCTTATAATATTTATTATTATTATTTTATTTTTTATTCTAATGTTATTAATTTAATGTAATTAGAGTGAGAAATTTAAAATTTAAAATTTAAAATAGAGAATCAATAGATTTACAAGTAATATAACATTAATTAGGAGATTTAATAGGATGACATATTCCAAAAGAACTATTCATTTATTAGTATAGGAATATAGTTAAAGACTAATAAAATTTCTTTGGATGACATAATTTGTAATTGTGATGCTATTTTCATATAAATTTTAAAACAATTGATGAATTAAATTATAAAATTTACATTTATGATAACATGAAAACTTAAATGTTCTATAGTGGGTTTAACGTGCTATTAGTTTTGTATGTTTTTAATTAGTTTGGAAACTAGTTTTGTCTGTTTTAA